CTCTGTGTCAGCTGCTTTTAATTCACTCATGCTCTGCACTCTTTAATCGTTTAAGTTTTCTGTCTTGTTTTTAGTGTTCAGCGAATGTTTGGGACCTACTTCAGAGTGGGTTTCTATGGCTGTCGCTTCGGAGATCTGGATGAGCAAGAATTTGTCTACAAGGAGCCATCGATCACCAAGTTAGCTGAGATATCGCACAGACTTGAGGCATGTTAACTCCTCCTGATGTTAATAAAGATGTCTTTAATGATTTATGAGGAACATATGTCTAAAGGTGAATGCCTCTGGCCCACAGGAGTTCTACTCAGAGAAATTTGGGGATGAGGTGGTCGAAATTATCAAAGACTCCAACCCAGTGGACAAAAACAAACTCGATCCCAACAAGGTAAAGAGATGTGTATGTTTGTTGCTTAAAGAATATGTATATTTTAAAAATGTCTAACTGTACTGATGACTTTTTCAGGCTTACCTGCAGATCACCTATGTCGAGCCCTACTTTGACACATATGAGCTCAAGGAAAGAATCACCTACTTTGACAAGAACTACAACTTGCGTACCTTCATGTACTGCACTCCCTTCACTCTGGACGGCCGCGCTCACGGCGACCTGCACGAGCAGTACAAACGCAAAACCATCCTGACAACGTCTCACGCCTTCCCTTACATCAAGACACGGATCAATGTTATCCACAAGGAGGAGGTGGGTGTCTCTACTGGAGGGATCAGATTTTAAATAAATGTAGACATTATGATGTATGTTCATTGTTACATCTTTGGTTTTCCAGATTATTCTTGTCCCCATCGAGGTGGCGATTGAAGATATGCAGAAGAAGACTCAGGAGCTCGCTTTCGCCACAAACCAAGACCCCGCAGACTCTAAAATGCTTCAGATGGTGCTCCAGGGCTGTGTGGGCACCACTGTCAACCAGGTGATAAAATAATTGAAATGCTCGTCCCCCTGGAATAATAATAACATCAAAGCAGAGCTTTAAGTCTGGGTTAGTGTTTTAAGCAGTGGCAGAAATTCCTCAGCTAATATGTAACTGTTTGTCTCCCCTAACAGGGCCCCCTTGAGGTGGCGCAGGTCTTTCTCGCCGACATTCCTGATGACCCCAAGCTGTTTCGTCATCACAACAAACTGCGCCTCTGCTTTAAAGACTTTGCTAAGAGGTACTGACATGATCTCCGTCTCAGACAAAGACTGTTGTGTAGCCAATAAAAACAAATCCCAACTCCCTGTGTCTTTCTTTTTTGTGCAGGTGTGAAGATGCCCTGAGGAAGAATAAAGCCCTGATTGGGCCAGATCAGAAAGAGTACCACAGAGAGCTAGAAAGGAATTATCATAAACTGAAAGAAGCTCTGGGTCCTCTCATCAACCGCAAGATCCCCCAGCTTTACAGAACCCTACCAGCTCCGACTCTGCAAACACAACGGTAACTTGAGACATTAATAACACACACACACGCCTACGCACAGAGACGCATAAAATGATCTCATGCTGCTTCTTCAAGCACATCAAGCTAACATAAGAGGAACCTAAAACTGTGTCATGCTTCAGGCTATATGCTCTGCATGTCACCAGTGAGCAGACATGCAGACACATTTCAGTGATTTCAAATGTGTCACATTTTATTCCACAGTCATTAATAAAAGATGATGCACTTCTTGAACTGCTGTAGCCTGTTTGACTATGGAAACTATCACCATATGTTACTTTTGGTTTTCATCATCTTCTGGCTGCACCTCTGTGTTTGCATGTGGACTGATTTCTAATCAGAAACAGTTACAGTCAACAGCACCTGCCAGACCGATGCTGCAGCACAGAGAAATGTAAAATCCCAGATATTTAAAATATTAACACAAACTTTGAGCTCCATTGGTCCGCTATATTACATTAGGGGTTTATCATTATTATTCTTGGAACCACAATGCTGACTCAAAGCCATGTAAGCTTTTAGTGGGACAACTTTCACACTCCTTGGGTGGCATTTTTTTTGGCTCAAATGAAATAAAAATGAACTACATCTTTGCTAAAATATGTTTTTGATTTTGACAAAAATCTTTTTACCAGTATTCCTACTAATTATCCCCCCTCTCTTGCAGGAACTCCTACAGTAGGTCGAGTTTCCGCAAAGTCGACTGTTGATCCACAGAAAGCTGCAAAGCGACACAAAGCAACAAGCTTTTAAAATTAGCACCATCTCATACCGTCTGTCCCCCCTTCCCCCCACTGCATTGCACACCAACTGTAGCAGGAACACACAAACTCACCGTCCTCTTCTTCATCTAGCTCGTTATTTTACACTCATCACCCTTGGCCACCTAGTCATGTCTTAACACCCCCCTCCCCCTTCCAGTCCCTCCATGCACACACAGTAAGTTGTCACCTCTTTCACTGCCCTACCATCCCCACCACTCTCACACCTCTTTTGGGGAAAAAAAACCCTCTGGTGTTTATGCAGGAAGGTTATCTGCTCTGTAAATATTGTCATTTGGAGCAAGGCTCTAAGATGGCAGCGTTTAAAGAAAGCTTTTTACAGTTATCCACCCAAAGTAATCTCTCAGAGCCTGATCTGACTTTACCTTTAGTTTTTAGTGCACTGTTTTACGTTTGTTTTTCTTTAGCTTCGAGTGTCTGCTTTTGAACAGGCTTAGGTTGTCTGTTTTGTGTCATGCACTTATTTAATTTGTGAGATTTTTTTTAATCCCTGGTAGTGATCACTGCCAGACTTTGTTATTAAATAGTCCCAGGGAGTTTTCTTTTGTTATCAACAGACCAAATAACTGACATTCCTTCTCCCTCAAGTCGTAACATTTATCTGCCCATCTCTCGTTATAAGGGTTCAATAAAGAGAGTTGGTGGGCTGCTTTTTGTGGAGGTCCAGGTTTGATATGATTGAGCTCATAATGTGTGGGAGAGACTGACTCGATGGGATGTTTAAATGTGTTCTTAAAACTGTGAACTCTTAGAAAAGCACTGCAGTCGCATCAGATGTTTATCACAGAAGCACTGTCTAAAGACAGGCCATCTCGTTTACTCACACAGGCATGTTCAAACTGCGACATTCACTATCATACTACAGTATAGATAGATAACTGAATATGTTATGACTGCGTAAACAAGTCCTCGTTTGACTGTTATGCGCTTCTGTGGAAGACCAAATGTTTTGTATGTATACACCTCTGTGGTTTGCATTTATTGTAGAAATCTCCATCTACTGTATCTATGAAATTGCACTATTGTAAACAACCTGCAGCACATTAACACTGTAACTACTAAAATATATGTGCTTTTGTTATTTTACAGAGCTGGAAACTGTTTTTTACCGATTAGATAGGCAATTTTTTTTATTTATTTACACTGTCTTCTATTAAATATTTCTCCCTACACTCCTGGTCATCCTTTATTTGTGGGTCTTACAATGTAAATTCATGTAATAATGTGTTTACTATTTTTAACACTGTTTCACATTAACAGTTTTGTTACTGGAAATCTATGTTTTTCACACATGGTTTCTTCGTTTTTCAGCAGTCAGTATCATATTATGGTATGGGAAGCATCTTTAATACCCATAGACCACAGTGATACTACACAAACTACTCTAACAACGGGGCTACGACAATAACATAGTGGCGTTTCTACATGAAACATACACAAGGTTTGCAAGTAATTATTACTAAATTTGCATGTATTTTAGTTATGAATCTCAATACTTTTGAATGTTGTAGACTATTCTTTTTCAGATGTTATAACTTAAAATTAACAGTTATAATTAAGAATAATTATTTCATCCCATATTTATTGCACATTCACAAGGGTTACAGTACCATTATGATTATATATAGTTTTTTATTTGTATTTGTTTATTTGGTGACATCCTCTTGCAGGGACTTTTATGGTTGTTTCTGCAAGTCTTTTGTGGGGTATGAAATTTCTCAAAGATACTCAGTGTCCTTCCGCCAACAATTTTTGATGTCCATGGATCTCTAAAGAGGTTGTTTGAGGTCTTAGACGTTTATTGGGATTCCTCAGCGTTCCTTGATTTGATAATTTAATGGCTTTGATTGAATATATTTTAGACTTTTCAGTTGTATCTCCAGTTTGCTACACTTCAGTATTAAACTTGAAACTTAATATGCTGTTGTACTAGTTTGACAGCTGTAGTTGCATTTAAAGCATCTGTTGTTGTGATTGGGCGCTAAATAAATGCACAACTCAGTGTTCATATCCAAAAAGTGTGATCAAGTTGTTTAAAAATATTTTATTATCGAGTACAGTATGTAAACTTTAATGTTACCAGTGACAGCTGGGGACCAGTGAGGATTTTTAAGATTATAGTTGCTGACTTTACTGTACTTCGTTGCTTATTATTTTATAACAAGGCGTCTTATTTTGAAAGTTCAGCAATTCAAAGATTTTAACTGTTTCCTTTACAAAAGATTTATTTATTACACATATCAGCCAGATGCTTGATTATATTAATATTTTAAAAATGAGTATAGAAGTAACAAGGCGTTGAAAAGAGAATCACCACGTTGACTTCATTGTGTTTATTTACATGAGTTCCAGTCATCGATATTTTGGCGTTTAACCGATTCTAATAAACTGCTCTTGAAGGAATGACATTTATATTGTTAGAAGTAACAAACACATTTTTATAAATAAAGTTTTTTCCCCACAATTTGTTTTTTTATTTGCTTTTTTTTTTTTACATAACATTAAATACATTTTTATATGTCTATCGTAGATAAACGGTACAGTACATAATAAATAAACAACCAGACCCATTTAAAAGAAACCCTTTAATTTTCCATTACAGTAAAAAAAATAAAATAAAAAAAATAAATGTAGGCCAGTGTGATCATAAATGATCTCATCACTAAAATAGCTTGCCCCCCTTTTTTAATCTATGACTTTCAGACTGAAGGAGGGTCAAACGATTGCACAGCTTCATATATGTCTCTGTATGAAGACTCCAGCGAGACGTGCAGTGCGCGAGCCCACCGCCTGGCCTCGTGGCCGCGTGCCCTTTAAGAGAAGCGGGAGGGGGCTCGGAGCATCTTGGCTGCGGTGTTTTTGTCTCTCTGTCAGTGAGCGCTCCTCCTGGGCCGAGGCGACAGAAAGGATTTGCGCAGGGCAGGTAAGAGCAGACAATAAGTTGACTTTCCTCTGTGCGAAAACCAGCTCGGTCTGTCTTTGTCAGCGTGTTTTGTAAATGGCTTCAGACGAGGAGCTTTCAGTGGGACTTCTTTTGTGAAGCGTCGGTCCTGCCCATTCTCCCCTCCGGTGCTCCTTCTCTGAAGTAACGGGTCCTTTATCCTCAAAAACCAACACCCAGCTTAGCTTATGGCTGGTTGTGTATTTCTGTTAAATGTTTCTGACTAATTAGCTTTTATAATTTCATATTAGTATTTATCTACGGTTGCAAGAATGTTTGACTCTCGCGATTGGTTCTCCGGTGCGTCCTCTTTTTTTGTTCACAGCATCACTGGAGGCTCACCGCGCGGGATTAACCAGATTTATCAATATTTATCAATAATTTACATCATATGGGGACTGAGAGTGCGTCTGTCACACTAACTCTGGCCTCACAACCCTAGCTTTCTTAACATTTCTGTTTATAAGCTTTGCATTTTCCATACAGCGGCTTTAATTCATTACATAGGGCTCTATTATTGTCTTGGTGGGCTTGTGGAGGGCGGGGGGGGCTGCCTGGAAAGCTCAACTTTTAGGCTCTTAAATCTCGCAGTATGCAACTAAACGCGACATCATTTCCAAAATAGCAAAATAACAAAAAAGAAAGAAAGGCATTTTGGGTGTGTTTGCACTTTTTTTTTTAAATCTCATGCTTAATTCAGGAAATGTTGCAACAATCCAGTCAGTTTATAATTTAATTAAAAACGAAAATCTCATTTAAAAACTGTAAGGGCTCATGGGAGAGGGTGGGTCCCACGCACGCTGCAAGTTTTCATGACTTCCAGATGTTCTTCAGCGCTGCTTTTTGCCCTCAATATTTGCTGGTCTCGCCAGCTGTAGCTGGCCAGTGGTCAGTGATAAGAAGGGGGGTTATATATTAACAGGGCAAGTGGACCAAATATATACCTTTTGCTCTTTCTTTTTCTTTTTCTTTCTTGAAAGACATCTCTAACCTGAGTTCTTTCTCAAATAAACTAGAATCTCCCTGTTAATTTTTGCATTACTATATTATTTGTTTATGAATGCAGTCATTTTACTGAGAAACTTCTAGCTCAGTCAGATGTTGTTTTCATGGTGGGCAAGCAGAACTTGGCAGGATGTGGGAGTGCAGTCATCAGCCTGTTACACTACATCATACAATACACCACTGTCCTGCTGTTGTGTAATGGGTTGCTGGCTGTATTAAATCACCTACCAGCAGCTGCATGGTGCTCACGTGGTCTCTGTCCCATCTGTCATGTTATTACATGGAAAAGGTGTTGGTGCGTCATATAGAACCCATATATTATAATATAGTTAAAGAGCATTAAGGACAGACCTTAGGGATAAATTAGCTTTTGTTACAGTGGTTTAAGGCAAAATCAGAGCCCTCATGATTGTAGGATTTATTAAGACAATAATGTGGTTTAGTTTCAGCTTAGAGGACTGCTAACTAAATATTTGCTTGTTAATTTGAGATATGTTGAGTATAAGTGCAGTAAAAGAGAAAACCCACTCTAAGGGAGTCCCCCAGACTGCATTTTATGGATCTGTGTCCAGGTTTGTCAGCAGCTGGAGTCTCCTTAAGCAGATTCTTTTTTTTCTGAGCTGGAATGTGATTGTTTCATTACAGTGTTTGGATCCGGGGGTGCAGTGGAGGAATGCAGGGCCCATAAACCCATTTGCACACTGGGCCACACGCCGGGCGTTTAAATTGTTTAGCAAGGCTAATGAAATTACACCCTGAACCTGTGTGAGACTGTTTATCACTTTTTTGGATTTTTTTTTTTTAACCACAGATGAGCCTTTCAGAGAAGTTTTACTGCATTTTTAATCACCTGTTATATTAAGACAGTATACCATGTTCATAAAGTCATGTGAAATAATGATGGTTTATGGCACAGGGCTCTATAATAATATTCATGGACCTTATTCATTTATGCATGCAGTTTGTTTTTAGTGTGTTATTCTTCCTTTCTAAAAAGCACTCTGTGAATATGCACCATAACAACATGAATATTAAACAGGAAGTTTTGCACTAGAGTTGGATAAATATACAGCCCAGCATGAGACTGCTGTGGTCAAGACAGTGAGTTAATACTCCTACTTAACTCTGTCGATTAGGGAGAGCAGTGTAGTGAACATATGGTGAAAAGCTGGCTTTTTCTCTAATAGGGACAGTAATTTGTTATCCTGCTAAATAAGCTGACTGATCTCTTTTATTTTATTAACCACCCAGAGAAGCCAGATGGACTGTGCTGTCCAGTAAGCAACATGTGTAAAGTGCATTGGATTATTATTTTTCCCCTTGTCTGTTTTGTTTTATTTGTGTCTGTACAACCGTTGCATCAACAACTTCACCAAATCAGGAAGTAATTGATAAGATTCTCGAGAAGGAACTGCTTAACTTAGCATGGAAACTGGACTGATATGACTTCCTGCGTTCTGTTGTACCATCTGTTCACACACGCTGACCTGATCTTTTAACCCTCAAACTGCTGTGACTGGCTCTCCACCATCTCTCAATCACTGCTGTCTGGGTTTCCTCCTCCCCAGACCACCTCAGTTTCTCTAAAATAGAGCAACTCTCTGCGTCTCTGCTCAGCATCCGTCTTAATCCCCACCTCCACAACTGCTCAGGAATTTTCTCCCAAATGGCTCCCCCCCCCCCGTGCCGCTCCTTGTCGCTCAGCCCCACCCTTGCTCAGTTTCCTGTTGGAGGTCAGCACAATGACCAATAGCGGAGAGGCGGGTGTTTACTCTGCTCCTGTTCCAGGAGTAATGTGAGCTGGCCGGCCTCTCCTTTTGGCCATAGTCTCTCTAGCACCAGACTGCTCCAGCTCCACGCCGTCTGCTCCTTCTCATCACCACTCCTTAATGTGAAAAACAGGGCTTTTTCCTAAAGGGCAAGAAGTCCTGGAGGTGACATCCCATTGGGTTATGATTTCACTGTCCCGAATTTAATGGCTACATTAGTCAAAAACCACATGTCCCACCAGCAGCATGAGTACACACTGTATGAGCATGCTGATATGAGATCATCTGGCCTCGCATTTGGTGAAGGCCCTTTCTGTCATGCGGTGACATATGCTCTTCAGCCACATTACGCTGGGTGAAAAATGGCTATTGCTGCTTCTGCATTTATTATTCTTCAGCGCTTTGGGAAAGATTTGTTTTAATTTTTCTGATTTATTATTCATCCAGGGCAAGTTGGCTGAATGAAGCCATCTGTGCTGCAGAATGAGGAGGAAGACAAAGAAGTCTCAGTAGATACAGCAGCATCTTTATGTGACATTTAAAAGCCTTCAGCACATCTTTTTTGAGGTCTGTGGCCTGTTACCCTGAAAAAAAAACAACTCTGAACAACAATAAGCTTTATTTAGTGCAACAAAGTGCTACTTGTCTTAGGGATTCTCTCTTTTTTCTCTCTATTTTAGGAGAGGAATGTACAAATGATGGTAATCTTCTAGGTGGAGCCATGTGGGATTATGAGGAGAGGTCCTCTTGAATCGTTATTTACTCATTGTGAGGAGCGCTCTGCGGCCCCTCTGTCTGATCTGTAGATGTTTGTCCTGCGTTAGTAGCAGCACTCATTCTGGTGTCAGCGTGATTCATTCTGGTGGAGTCCAAATCTGAGAACAGGCATGTTCTTCTCATTTCAGAAGTTTCCATCTAAAACTTTCTTCCCCCTCCTTTTACAGTTTGCCTGTCTTTCCTCGAATTTCCCCTCTTTTCTGTCTCACCCTCCCTCTCTCACTGTACTCCTTTCTCCCTCTCCTACCGCTGCTACCCCCCTTTTTTTCGTTTATGCTCTCTTTCTCCTTGTTACTCTTTCTCCTGGGCTGGGAGGAAGTGACTGAGTTGTTTTTGCGTCCTTGGGGAATAGAAAGATGAAGCTCCCTTTCCTGTAACCCTTTCTTCGTCAGACCTCAAATATGGTCTCCGTTTTGAAACAGACAATTAGCCTGGTATGATGACAGCAGCACGTAAACTGCCGTTCTGAGAGCTTTTCTTTGGGAGCTAAAACTTTTCAGATGAATTAAAAGCAGCTAAATCACTGGGCTTTCATATCATCTTTGCCCTTACTTGAATAAATCAAAGTAATATCTTCAACTGTGTTTGTTGATTTATGGGAGTCATCAGGCTTCAGACAGTGTTGGTGTGTTTAGGGGGTGTGTGTGTTTTCATCTGTGTTCTGTGGGAGTCCATGGGGAGTTCAGCTTGTCTCCTCTGTAATGTTTGGTATTTGCCATCTCCGCCAAACGCACAGTTATAACAGCCCGACATGCGCCGCTGTCTTTGATCTCATTGTTTGCGAGTAGCTTTTGGATTTGATAAATGAGGTCCCATAACTAAGGTGGAAATGTATTCATAATATGTTTTTACTTTGGTATTATTCACAGTCATCAACACATACATCTAGTTTTGTTAACTTTGGAGCCTGTTTAGATTTAGATATCAGTCACTCAGTGCAAGTCCTGCATCTTGTGTTTCCACTTTCTGTCAGTGTGTGGGTCCATAACAGGTCTTCACCAACTGTTTGTTTGTTTTGAGGCAAATTTCCTTACCACACACTCGTCCATACTCTGTCTACCGCTCCCTCTCTTTTTCTCAGAGATGCCCCTCCTTGATTTCTATTAGAACCAGCTGTGGAACTAGGGCCTGAATGAATGGCTCTTTGTGATTTGGCTGTAGTTCTAGTCTAAAAGATGTTTCTCTCCCACCAATACCCCCAGTGGTATTGGCATGGCAACACAATGAAACAATGCACAGAACAATGGCAAGCCTTGTTATGATATGACGCAAAGGTCACTCGTCGGTGTTTTTTAGGCTCTGAGAACTCCAGACAAAATGTCGACCGCACTTTCACAGCAGCCTGACTCTGTGCTGCTGGAGCCAAAGTAGGAGAATCGGCAGCAGACGCTGTCATGCAGCATGTCTGGTTGACACTCACACAGCAGTTAAGACTGTGTTGAAGGAAATGCATCATAAGGCTCATGAAATCAGTCTAGCCTTAGGTGATACAGACAGGTTCCCACTAATCCAGAGGGTGGGGGTGTTTGTGAGTGCCACTGGATTTGGGAGAGTTAGAAAACTGACACATTGCCCAATCACATGGCAGGGAGGCTCCCGCTCCCAGCCTTGAATTGATTAGAGAGCCTTGAACTGGAATGGGGTGGGGGAAATTATTTCTAGAAAGCTGTGAGAGGAGAACTTGCACATGGCTCAGGCTTCACTTATATTGTGCAACAATCAGTGTGTGATTTGCATCTTATGGGTGTATGTTGTTCACATCCGGTGTGTGAGTCAAAAACACTGACACACTGGATGTGTGTTCTGTTTTGAAATGTTTGTTTCCTGCTTTGCAACCTGTGTTTACCCTCACGTCATGCCCACCTGTTATGAATCTCTGTTTATCTCTGTGTCAGCAGAGCTGCACACCCTTTCCATGATTTTACTGATGTCCCCTGAAAACTATTCCTGCATATATCCCAGTTATTGTCATTTTTCTGGACTACTAACTGATACAGTCAAAGGCAGTGGCAGCCAAAGTTCAAATTTCCTCTATTCTTATTTCCCGCAGGTGCTGACTGTAAGAGAGCAAGAAAAGGAAGGGAGAGGCAAGGGGCCTGGGGAGGAGAGATCCCATCCTCGCAGCGCAAGCAGCTGGTATGAAGTAGAAAATAAATCCCTCTTTTCCTAATTCACAAACCATTCCCAAGCTTGAGCAAAATCGCAATCACCAAAGGCTGAGAGTCAGCAGTGTAATGGAAAACTCCATAAAGATCGTCTCTGGGTGGTGGAAAGAGCGGCGGTATTTTTGACTTAGTAGTACTGAGGTTTAATCCTTTGTAATGGCAATAATAATAAGGTGACTCAATGAATGGAAGCAATGAGTTTGATAAACTAGGGAGAACAGACCTTGAAATGAAGCTTGGCATTTTAAAATTACTCATCACGGTGGTCTCAGTCTTCTGAGGGAATGTTTATCCACACTGTAACTCAAACCGAGTTTTAACCCTTTTAATACCATGCTGGAGTTTGGTCTGCATAGAAAGGAGTAAACCCGAAACTTTCATGCACATAGAGGAAAAAATCTTTTTCAGTGGTGAGTACGAGTAGTCAATTAAGCTACAGCATTATGCAGTTACTCTCGTGACATCCTACAGGACATACCACAGACGCGTAATTTGTGCTGGATGACCTGCATCTTACCCCCCCAGGGGTTGTCTTAATCTTAATAGCAGGGAATAGAGGGGAGAGACCAGACCATGCTAGCTTCCTCTAGCATGGTATGCAGCTCTATGAAGGAGGTAGGGGGGAGTAATGGGGGCAAACCATGTGTCCTAGATGGAGGCTGGCTGGGGAGAGTTGTGCTGGGGAAGGGCAAATGCTGGTTTCTGTTCAGATGTCATCTCAAAGGAACTCTGTTTAAACCAGAGAGACGGAGAGGAAGGTCAGCCACTCCACCCCAGCCATACTCACACACTCAGTGGAATACGTGCACACACATTAGCACATATGAAACACTCTGCTGTTGTTGTAGGAGCCTGATAGTGGAAAATAATCAGTTTAAATAAGAAGATTTCAGAATTTTGGAATTTGTTCAGGGTAATTAGTTTGAAACGAGTATGCCGTCAAGGGTGTCCCTTAAGCCCCACTTTACATTTTGCACTTTGCATTATTTATAGAGCTTCTTGCTCAAGTAATTAGAAAACACATTGGAGTAACAGCAAATTTACTTACAGGGATAAAACAAGTTTTTATTCATGATGCAAATTAAACATACACTAGACCCAAAATATGTGTTTATAAAGCTATATTTTATCAACGCTAATTTTATAAACTCAGCAGAAAAAAATAGTATTATATATACCTAGGTATCACTATACAAGAGAATCTAAACAACATCAAATTTAAATTATTGTTTTATGCTAAAAGAAATAAAAGTAGACCGTGAACGATGTGCTCCCTTAATTTGTATAATAAAGTAGAAATTTGATTTTATTTCTTCTGCTATTCCTTTTTCAGTCCGTGCCAGCAGAGATATTAATAAAACAGATTAATAAATGGAAATGAATACCTGTAGGATAGGGCAGGGTAATAAGTCTACAGTACAATTTAAAATACTACAGCTAGGAAAAGAAAAAGGTGGAATGTTCCTGCCATGGTTGAAGGACTATTGTAGAGCAACACAGTTACAGTATTCATTCTGCTGGTGCAACAGTGGGTATGGTGCAAAAATGGAAAGGTTAAGAATTAAGCCAGTTGAGTGTCATCCTACAATCTGTGGTAGGTGAGATAAACAAGTACCTAAATAAATTAAGTGATCTGACAGAAGTATTGTTAAATATATTGTTTAATTAATGTAAGAGGAATAACTGTTCTTAAGATTTTTGGAATATAGTGAAGATTTTAAACGAGTATAATTCGGACTTGAAGTTTAGAGACTGGACCTGGAAAGGCATTACATCATATCTGTTATTTCAGCCAATACAGATCTCAAAAGTTTTCAACTTCTTAGTGAAACCTGCAATTTACATGAGGTCATCATAAATATTTTTTTATTGATGTTACCCAGAATTTGTTCATATATGCAGTGTCTTGGGAAAAAATTCCGCCTTATACATCAAGGTCAAATCAAGGAACAAATACAACACTAACAGGTGAAGATAGGTTATATAAATAAAATAAAATGACAGCACCTTTATTTAATAATTCATTTTTTTATAACCCCAAAAAGAAAACATCAACAAAGGGGCAGATCTGGAATCTGGACACTGCTGGATACAATGTGATATTACAATGGCTGATCATTATCACATGTTTTCTAATTGTCCAGCAAAACAATCTTACTGAGCAAAGACAGTAACATAAATTAAACTCATAATAGGTTTTGAGCTTGACTATACTCTCGATATCATATATTTAGGTAATCGACCAAATGACTTGTACATTTGAGGCAAATATAGCCATGAAGTATTGCTTAGTGCCAGTAAAAAGGCAATAACAAAGAAGTGTCTGGACAAGAACCACTTACAGGGGAGTGCTTCCTTGCTATTATAAAAGAAATATCCGAAAGGAAAAACTTATCATCTCTGCTCATTAAATTGGCTGTTATTTATGAATGGTAGTTTTACACAGGGAAAACTACTCTCCTGTGTCTGGGAGTTTTTTTTCCATGGTACCTATAGTTTTGGAAATTAGGCATTGCTCATACAGGATTTTTATATTTGCACGTCAGATGTATGCTGAATGGATCAGGCCCTCTGGCCTCATCCGTGAACTGGATAAAGTTGATGGACTATTGGATATTCATCTACGTTTTTTATTAGGTGTTCATCAGCAGGTGTCTGGGTTGACCCTTCCTTTTTTCTTTTTTTCTTTTTCCCTCTGGGACTAATCGTACAAATAACCATCACCATGTAGTCAGCTATTGATTGTGTGCATTTGAATGATTTACCCGTAGTAACCTGATTTTTTTCTGTTCTGTCTCTCTATGCTTGTTTGCTTCTTCAGAGCAAAATTATAAAAATAAAGTGGAATTTGAAGGGAAGTCGAGTAGACGACATCAACCAGTCTGTTTGGCAGGCATGTTAGGTTGCAAAACTACATACTCTAATTATATCTCATCGGCTGTCCCCTGTCAGTGCTGCCCTCCACCCTGTACGCATATTCTCTCACACAGTCTGTTTTTTTGCAACCACGCCTCTATGTCCTACTCTCACTTTCTCACATATGTAGTCATTCCCAGACCGCACTGTACACCAGACACTGTACACCATCAGTCTGGCACTTTCAATGGAGATAAACAGACACTTAAACTGTAGGCTGAAGGCAGGCAGCCAAATTCTTCATCTTTTTTAAAGGCTCTGCAATATTAGTCAAGATTTGTCTTTTTTTCTCCACTTTCTCATATGCAAGTTAAAATTTTATATCTGGGGCATAAAGTCCTCATGTGTAAGCTGAAGGATAGTTGGCTTCATTTTAAATTGGATTAACCAGTGTGATTCTTCCTTACCACCATGGTGCCAATCTTAAAATGGGTTTGGGTTTGCATGCAGTCTGTATTTCACGGCCCAATAGTGTGTGGCAATCTTGGAATGAGAGGGTGATGAAAGGGTACAGATAAGCAGAATCACATCGAGAAATTAAACTGACTAAAGCACTTCAAAAATACCATGTCAATTTAGTCAGTGTTTCCAAGTGTCCTACTTTTCACAAATGAGCAAGCACGGGCTAGGGTCACAAGATAGATGGAGAGAGAGAGCGAGAGCGAGAGAGGAAGAGAAAAAACAAAAAACAGCTTTAGACTGAGGCAAATATAGTTTGCACTTGAAAACAAAGTGGTTTGCAGCACAGACTTCTGTTCCTATCTTATCAAAGCCATAGTATATAAAGATGTTCAACTGACTAATGCTGTGGACGGCTTAAAGACTTCCACAGTTCCCACAAAGTGATGACCTAGAAAGTTAATCTTTTCCAAGCACACACCAACTCAGAGGCATGGCATTAGGGTTTCTACATTTTTGCTGGCAGTGTGTTGCTCTCTGTGGAGGGAAAGGCTTAGTCTTTTGTTTATAAAGAGTCAAAATCCATATGTTACCTTTGGTAAAATGCAAGTTCTCAGCAATTCACTGTGTGTTTTGGCTGAATTAAAAAGCATCTAAGTGTGCAGAGGAAAAGAAAGGGACTAGCTGAAACCTTCTGATCATCAGCTGATGCTTAGAGGGGTAAAACGGGAGCAGAAGAGCATAAAGAAAGGACAAATAGAGAAGAAGCCAGAGATGGAAGAAGTGCAGGAGAGAAAGAAGAGAGAGTGTCTGTAAATCCTAATGTGAGAGGCGAAGTAAGTGCGCACAGATGATTCCTAATAAGGCTGTAACTGGCAAATCTCTGTCCTAGAATTAGCTGCCAGGAAACTTTCCCCCTGTAACTTCTCTTCTCTGAATGCTATGAACAGAAACAAATATACAACTGACAGTGGCCCAATATGCTCAAAAAAATGGAAGGATAAAATAAGGAATGGAGGCAGGCGGGTAGAAAGGCTAATGCTATTTCTGACCATTATACAGAGAGAGCAATGCAGTCAAAAGCGGTAATTATTTCTGGACACACTATGTCATGCAGACTTTACAGTTAACTTAAGATATTAAGATATTTGAATACTGATTCTGTTAGGTTTTAGTTGGATGTAGACAGTTGTGTATTACTGCATTGATTGCATCTTTATAATTAATGCAAGAAAAGCCACTTTTACAAACACCTTAAAATACTCACCAAAAGACTCAAAACAACAAAAACTTCCACAAATCCACTACAAACTGGACCTGGGAGCAATATGCTTATTTGCACACTTAATCACATAGTTACTGAACACACATCTAAATTATACTGTATTTGCATATTTTGCATCTTGCACATGTCTCACATGTCCTGTCTTGTCTACAATATCCTGACCGTAACTTGAACCTGGTATTCAACACCTACTGCACAATCTACTTCGTATTGTCTCTGTTCTGTCTTTGTTTATGGTACAGTTTGTATTGAATAGTTATTATTATAGTATTGTATAGTTAGCAATTAGTACCTTTTTATCCCTTAATTTTACCCAAATTTAGCACATTATTTATTTGTAATTCCTAGTTTTATATCTCTTGGAGATATATCTTTTATATACTTATAGATGCACCATGGGGGGCTTGGGGTGAAACAGCATTGCAGTACTCTGTATACTGTGTATATTGTTGTATTGACAATGAAGCTCTTGAAATCTTGAATCCTTTGTTATTTATAGAAATGCTTAGTGTACAGTATGTTTAATTTCAACACTTTTGTCTCCCTACAGGTGAGGTGTTTGTGTGACTGTCTGAAAAGCAGCCACAGGCGCATTATGGCACAGGTGCTGCATATGGACCCCGGCTTCCCAGGTGCGCCCTCTATTTTTAATTCCTTATAGTGATCAACATAAAAATGATGATAGGTTAATGCTTTTGTTAGGATTTAAACTATCACACAACTGGCATGTATTTTAACTGTAAGATTGTGTCATAATGAACTCCAACAATCCACTTTGTGCCTAATTTGGTGATGAATTCTGAGTACATTTATAACTGTGGAGTAGCTGATGCTTTTTTCTGAAGTCTGAACCCAAGATTAGATGCAGATTTCCGTTTGTTTAAAGTTTATTTCCTTCCCCTGCAGGGAAACTCAACCCACCTGCCCCCCCTTCCCTGCACGCCAAAGAACAGGAGGCACCCTACTCAGTGGAGACCCCCTATGGCTACCGTCTGGACCTAGACTTCCTCAAATATGTTAACGACATAGAGAAGGGGAACACTATCAAGAAGGTGCCTGTTCAACGCCGGCCACGCTATGGCTCTTTGCCCCGTGGCTATGGCTACGCTGGCTCCTGGTGGACCTCCACAGAGTCTCTCTGCTCCAATGCCAGCATGGACAGCCGGCATTCCTCTTACTCCTACTGTGCCCCAGGCTACCATACATCACAAAGGCCCAGCTTCAGCACTGCCCGGGTGGAGAAGACTCTGTTGGATGCTCGCAGGAAGCTGGAAGAAGAGAAAGAGGGACGGAGATTCTCCAATCTTGGCAGCATGCACAGCAGTGTAGTTGGCTCTAACACCTCCATCAGCAGCGCACACAGCTTCAACCGGTCACAGGGTGGAGGTGGATCTTTCACTCCCATGAGCTCTGGCCTGTCCACCCCAGTAACTCCAACCCCAGCTCACTTGCAACATGTCAGGGAGCAGATGGCTGCAGCCCTGAGAAAGATAAGGGAGCTAGAAGAGCAGGTGAAAACAATCCCTGTGCTCCAAGTTAAAATCTCAGTGCTGCAGGAGGAGAAACGGCAGCTCAGTGTCCAGCTGAAGAGCCAGAAGTTCCTGGGCCACACTCTGGGGTTCAACCGAGGTCGTCCCAGAGGGGAGCTCTATATTGACATCCCTGAAGAAGACATGAGCACTGGAAAGGGGAGCAACAACAATAAGCCAGCAGGGTCACTGTCCCCCACCACACCTGATGGGTCCAAGCAAGACTCAGGGTGTGAGATTGAGGACACAGTGATTGTGAGTGGAGTGCGACCAGATGCAAAGCGGGAAGTGCGCACCATTGGCGTGGGACCAGAGGACTCAAGAGGAAGTCGTCATGTGGGGGTCTGGGTTCAAGAGAAGGATCTGGGACTGCTGCCTGAGACAGAAGTCCTCAAAAATCAAGTGGGTCAGCTTGAGGGTCAACTACAGAGGACAATGCAGGAACTACAGGCTGCACAGCAGCAGGTGGCAGGAGTCCAGAAGGGCCCTCAGGCAGAGCATCCAGTCATAGCAACGAGCCTGGGCTGGCAGGAGCCTCAAGGCTGCAGCCTGCATACACTAGTCAGCTTCACACAGCAACGACACCAGAGGGACCAGAGAACTGTAGGAATTCAGGTGTACACACTGGAGCAGCCTACTGTGGTAGAGGTGGGAACACTGCTCCGAGCAGAGACCTGCAGCTCCCCCCCCATTCAGCCAGCTGCTGGAGGCGTGGAAGACCACCAGAGAGGGCAAATTGAAGGTCTGTTACTGAGACTTTATGAGCTTAAACTGGAGAGTCTGATGCAGTCCAATGCAAGAGCATTTTGTGAAACCTGTGCAAAAAATTTCCCAGATATGAATTATGCTTAGTCCTAAACTGAAAGGAAAAAAATCACCAAGGATCTGTTCTTAAAAAAAAGTATGTGTGTGTCGGGCGAGGATTGGTCCAAGGCTAGACTTAATCATTGTCTGGGAAACTGAGTCTGTCACCCTCAAATATATGTTTTTACTGAAAGTTGAAAAGTCGTTGAAAAGTCGCAAATACTTCTATATTTAATATATTTAAATTTTAACTGGAGGGGTTTGGAATGCTGCATTACTGCTGGATTGTACTGCATCAGACTTTATCTTTGCAATAACAATTATTTATTGCATTACTGCACAAAAAGACTGATTAGTTAGCTTTGAAATGTTGTCTGTCTCTCCCTCAGATGCTCCAGTTGAGTTGCCGATTGCAGTCAGCTCTAAGCAGGTACGCGATGTCTTGAAGAGCAGGTTGTCCACCTCAGTACCTGTAGCTAATCCTGCCATTGCTGTTGCATCTGATGATCGGATTGTGCATAATAAGGAAGAAGCAAATGATTCTATCCAATCACAAGAAGGCTTACCTAAGACAGGTATGTGATTTTTAAACTAGTGTCTTCTGACCACATCATGCTCCCACTGTATGAATAATTGCTGGTATCTTTTCTAGCTTCATCTCCCCAATTGTCTCTGAGATCAATTATGAAGCGGAAAGCAGAAGGTGAACCAGGCTCGCCCTCTACGAAGAAAAACCTACAGTTTATTGGAGTCAATGGAGGGTAAGTGTTAGTTATTGCATAGCAGCAGTCGGCTATTTTCATCCACTGAGTACTGTGTCAAGGGAATGTTGTCAGCATAAGGTTAAGTAAAAAGGTAAAAGAAGAAGCAGAAATGTACTCCCTGTGTCACCTGCAAAGACTCTGAACTGTTTGAGCAGAGTGAAAATTGTTCGTGTCTTACAGCTACGAGTCCACATCCTCAGAAGATAGCAGCAGTGAGAGCTCAGATGAGGGGAGTGACTCTAGTGAATATCATGAAGCCAGAGAAAAACTTCCAGAGTCTACAGTCCAGCACCAGCAGACAATACACAACAAGGATTCCAAGCAAGAAGAAAGCACCAGTGTACCTCAGCAAAATGCTGTCAAACTACCAGCTGCCATTCCAGACTCAAGTCCCAGCCAGTCTGCAGCTGTAGACACAATGCCATCAAACAAAGCACCTCAGTCACCAGCGACAGACACTGTGGTGCAAAAATGTGCCTCACAGCCACCAGCATCAGACCACGCCATACCTCCTCCATGTTCATCAAATGATTCTGAGACTGTCAAACAATCATCAGAAAAGCACAAACAGGTCACCTCCACACCAGTTAGCACTGAATCCACTCCTGAGCAGAAGGCTTCACTTACCTGTTCTTCATCACCTGGCCTCACTAAAATCAGTGATAACGCCCAGCAGCGGTACAGCGTCCAGTCAGAGTGCAAACCAGCAGATGAACGTATTTCAAATGAGACTGCGACAGCGCCTTCAAAACAAGTCAGGTAAGTGTACACAGAGTCTGTCTGTGAGGATTAAAGGATCTATGAACATCTGAGAGTGATGTTGTCTCCTTATCTGCCACAGACTGGAGCTGACTGACAGCCTGATGTTAGCTCTGCATGCCCTGCAGAAAGCCCTGGGGGAACCTAATGCCTTCAGCCAACAAGGAGCAGTACGTGTTGAGTCTAATTCACATTTCTCCACATTTCTTCACATTTCTCCTGTCGTTACTTCTTTCTAGGAAATTCAGAAGGTTCACTTTTAAAATAAATGACATAGACCAACCTCAAACAAGGAGGCACAGCTACCCACAAACTGTGCACACTCAATAATTTAATTTAGAATATATTTTACTTTAGTTTGCCAACTCTAAATATTTACTAAAGCATAGCTTAAGATGTTTGATTATCTGCATGTTTGATTCAGGAAAGAGTTTATGCTGGATGCCCTTCCCATTTATCCTGGCTTGGGAACGGCACTAAGACTACACTGGATTGTTGCACCCCATGTCTGGAATAAGACTAAGTTAAAATAAGAAAATTCTTAACTTTGGTTTCATAATTTTTGCAAGTAATGAAAGATCAAACAACACATTAACTCAAGGCTTCTCCTGAGGTTTGGTTTCACATTTTTGATGTCGTCGTTGCTCTTGCATTTCTCCAGCCGTCTGTCAAATGTTTATTTGCTTTAACAGTCCTCATTGTGTCTGATCTCAGAGGGCAGCTTACACCACAGTGCTGCAAGAGTGGCTACGTGTGTCCTGCCACAAAACGGCCGACACAGCTGTTGTCAAGGCCTACATGGACACTTTCGCCTCAGTCTCCCCTCAGCTGCTGGAGTTTGTCATAAATATGGCTGACGGCAACGGGAATACAGCCCTTCACTACACTGTCTCCCACTCCAACTTCCCCGTGGTGAAACTTCTGCTGGACACTGGTGAGTTCTGTGCTTTTATGAGAAAACAACAGAGGCGCTGGAGAAAATTTTGATATTAAGCGAAGTAAAATCTCATAAGACTGAAGAGTCAAAGTAAAGTCTTATGGTTATTTTTTATTATGATAATCTCTACAATTTAAGAAATAAGTCATATTAAATTATTAATGGTAACGATCCCTTTTACTTTGTTGTGCTGCTGTTATATCACCTGTCAAATTGATTGGCCTCTTTACCTGACAGGCTTGTGTAACGCTGACAAGCAGAACAAGGCGGGCTACACAGCCATCATGCTGACGGCTCTGGCTGCCTTCCACTCCGACAGTGACCTTCAAACTGTCCTGCAGCTGCTGCGCACAGGGGATGTCAATGCCAAGGCCAGCCAGGTGCGCCCTCTACTGCTCATAAGTTTTTACTGCGTCTCCACACACACACAAAAATCCCCCATTGTCACGCATTAGTGCAGGACTAGGACTGCATAAAATGTCTTATGTTTCAAAAACTGTAATCATTACAAAAAGTACAAGAGTAAAAACTTTGTAGACAGCTGACCCATGGCCAAGTGCTTCACAAAAGTTGTCACAACAGCGACACTGTGTGGACAGTTAGAAAAGTACAAAACTGTAAACCTTTCATAGCTTCCCACTGGTTGTTACCCAAACAAGAAGTGGTAACCAGATCCCAACAAACTAAATGTGCGTTTTATTGAAATATTTCTTTGTCAAGGAAAATGTGGTACACGATACTAACCCTGGGAGGCATTTAGCATGTGAAGGACATATTTTATTTTCATCCAATTTCTCAAGGCAATGAGCTGATATCTCTACTTCTTTTTTTTACTTCCATGTATTTTTCTGTTTATTCCACCTTTAACACTGTAAGCATCTGATTATCATTTGGCTTTCAGAGGAATACATCCATTAACAGGGACATTTTTTATAAAACTGACAAATTTCTGGAAAATATTTCATGCACCAGTTTTACCCAGTTATTTAGAATTTTCAGTCTTTATTTGTCTGAAACTTTTTTTGTGACATTTTGGCAAATATTCCAGAAAAATCTGAATACCTTGTGATTTTGTGTGGATATACAATTTACCACCTTGGACATAGTGCAGGTAGCAAAAGCCAGTGACATGCATGAGACCAGTGATTATAGTCTTTGTTGCTTTCCTTACAGTCATTCAGTAAAAGCCGCTCTAACTAATTAAGTTTGGAGCAATGTGGGATATGACAACAGGGGATAAAAGTTGTGAATTTCTATGAAGCCAATGTAGAAAAAACAGCCAGTCTCATTCGCTCATCTGGTTTGATTCCTGTTAGCAATCACATTGCAATTGCTCTAGAAACTAGACCGTCTTCTTACAAGTGATTTTAAGAATTCTGCTCAAAATGTATCTGCTGCACCATGTACACAAATGCAGTCTCAATGTGTCCACAGTTTGGTTAAAAAATTAGGGTAACAGTAATTTTAAACAATGTGTGTTTTGTAGGCTGGACAGACAGCGCTGATGCTGGCAGTCAGTCATGGTAGAGGGGACATGGTGCGAGCGCTGCTGTCCTGCGGGGCACAAGTTAACATCCGCGATGACGACGGCTCCACTGCACTCATGTGTGCCTGTGAACATGGTCATGTGGACATTGTGCGTCAGCTGCTATCAGTGCCAGGATGTGATGCCACTCTCACCGATAATGTAAGAATTCCAGTTCGGTCTGTGGTTATGCGGACTCCTTCCCAAAACCAGCATCTCACCAACATTTTCTCATTGTATTAAACAGGATGGCAGCACTGCTCTGTCCATTGCCCTTGAAGCCAGTCAGAATGACATCGCTGTGCTTCTGTACGCTCACCTCAACTTTGCAAAGCCTCCATCCCCTGTGAGTATCTAAATATGCTGCTAAGACACAAAGTAGCCCTTTCACACCAACATTCAACAATCCAAGAAATGTGTCATGGAAGTGATTGCCACTTTCTATGGCTAATAGCACACGGATAATTATGTAATATTCTTGTTTGCATGCAACCCATCCAAACTGGATTTTGTCACATATTGAGCCATGCAAAACACAACCTCTGTCAATTATTCCTCCAACCAGTTTCTTTAAAATAAGCCTCCTTCCCACATCTGGGCAGTGTTGCAATGTTTTCGTGTTCTCAAACACGTGTTGATATGCAAGAGTTGCATATGGTTTACTGCATACCTACAGAAATTAAAGTTGGCTTTGGGTTGAGCAAAAATAGCAAACAAGCAAATCTGTTTAAGCCAGAAACCAATTACCCACAAGCTTGCAGCTGTCAAACAAGTCACTGCCTTAGAATAAGTACACATTCTCACCTAATGTGGGCTTTATGGTGTATGTTTGTGCAGCTCTTTGGCTAAACAGAACGAGAGATGCATAACTTTGTCATATAATTTGACTTCTACCTGCTCCCCAACAAAACCTAAACTTCACTCATTCTTTTAAGTTTATTTTTTTAAGTTTCCTAAAGTGACAGCACATTGCTGAAACATGCAGACATGAGTCTGCTCATGTTTCTCTATCCTACCAACCATCTGCACTCGTCTTTCAGGTATGAATCACTATCCCAGCCTCTCAGCTGGCTATTAGTTTGTATATAACACAAAGTTGACCGTAAACAGGCAAGATGTGTCATAAACTAGTATATAAACCCCCAAGTGATGGACAAATTCCAGATGTGCTTTATGCATTTTATTTCACAACCTGGCTAATAAACTACAACAAGCACTAACAAAGGGAATTTTTGGAAAACTGTAATTAACTATCAGGAATGTGTGATTACATGTAATGTAATGTAAATGTGTATGTTTGGATGACTGGTAATGTATGTTGAAAGCAAAAGAAGGGAACCCAAGGACCAAGCTGTAGCTCAACCAGTTAGTCATAGCCTGAGCACACCTGGCCCTGTCTTGCTCATCCAGGTAATTATTCTCAGTCAGCTCTTTCAGGACAAAGCACAGCATGATCAAAACAAAGCAGAGTCACCTAGTGAACAGAAGGCCCAGGAGACAGTACAGTGTCTAAAGAATGCCCCTAACATATGAGTAATTCCATGTCTTAACAAGAACATGCTTCAGTGGGATTAATTCTTAATATACAAACAGGATGTGTGGTTTCAACGACACATACTCAAACATAATATATTTTGTATTTAAAATGGTAATGTAATATTAATGTGCATGTAAATGTATTGATCAAGAGGTGCTTTACATGAACAGAAACCACTCCTGGAAGAGAAAATACAGGGGAAATATGATGCACTTAAACAGTAAAAGGGTCTAAACCTGAGATTTTTCTTGGATTGGCAGTAGCTGTTATTTTAACTTCACAAAATGTTCATTTCTTCCCAGTGTTAGGTTCATGGGTTCAGAGAGAGTGAAGCAGGAGATTGATAAATGGGTTATTGCTGTAGTGGCAACAATGTGCACTGATCTGGTGAAACAATTTGAGCTGTGGGAAGTGACTGAAAAAAGGAGAACATAGATGCAAGCAGTAGAAATGAGTTTCCTATGAAGGGTGGTGGGTTATCTCTTAGAGGTAAAATGAGCTTGGTCATCCAGGAGGGGCTCAGAGTAGAGTTGCTACTCCTTCCAAAGTATTTGGGGCATGGGGAAAAGCCCCGGGGCAAACCTAGGACACACTGGGGAGACTACATCTTTCCGCTGGCTTACCTTGGTGTACCCTGATGGATGGATGGATTAACCATGATGAATTTGATAAAAAATTCTAAACTATAATTTGTTTGTTTTTTTTACTTGTCCAGGTTTCCCCCAAGTCTCCGCTCTTGGGCTCCTCTCCTCCTGCTGGTGAACTAAAGTAAACCACACGCCTACTGCTCAGCTACACAGCCAATCCACAGATGTTTATTCATCTATGTACTTAAAGGAAACATCAAGTTTGTTTGTGTGTTTGTTTTCACCCTGAATAATTTAATTATGTGCAGATAATTACGTGAGAGCTCGCACCATTGTTACTCATTGCTTATCGTACACAGTGGTCTTACTTTAATCCCAGTGGTGGTTGGAAAAGTGTGAAACTGAACATTGAATGGATTTCGTTCTAGTTTTGCAACAATCCAGTTGTCAGCACTGTTTTTACAAATCCAAACTGTTCACCGCATTTCACTATACGTTCAATTTTTATGCACTCGTTCTGTAATTCCATATCAGTTTTATATAAGTTGGCTCATAGAGCAGTGTGTTTTCATTGTACCATAGGTGTTTCACAGTAGCATCGTTTTGTGTGACCATCACAGTCATTTGGAATAACTGAAGCCACCCCTCTCGTGGGTAAGTGTCCTTGCATCAACTAGCTCATTGGTGCTACAAAATATAACACTCCAATAGTCTGTTGATATTTATACACAAGATTTATTTACTTGAGAGTATTTTTGATATTGATTTTTTTTTTAATCATTCTGACTTAATTCAGGACCTCGTGGTTTTATTTCCCAGGTGTTGGTTAACTTTACACCTTTTTAACCAGTTTTATGTGTTTATCACATTCCCCAAATCAAACCCAAAGATGTCTGTTTCACATCACCTCTTTTTAAAGCTGCTTATTGTGGTAATAATGTTAACACAGGTGGTGTTAAAGAGGAGAGAGGTTACCATTGTTCTCTGATGGCTGCGGTACTATGGTCTTTGTATTTTTATATGTGAAGGTTTTTCGGATGGTTGATTAGAGGGTATCTGTGTTTGTGATGTGTGCTCATAAAATTTAACAAGACTTTGTTGAGAGAGCGCTGGTGAAGCCAGTGAGATTTGTCAGGGAACCAGAAAGTAAGTGATTTTGGTCTTAAAAGGGCGTGCCATGTAAGATAGGAATATTAAAATAATATATGTCAGTGTAAACTGGTAATAATTATGCCTGAAATCGAACTCCTTGAACTAAAGTGCATAGGCTATTGATGTCAAAATTTCTATTACTTTTTAAAGATGTTTTACCAATTTTCATATTCACTTTTAAGCAAATTTTTTATAAATTTCAATTTTTTTAAGTATCTATCTTTTATACATTTGGAGTTTTTAAGCTCACGCCTGCGTTATGTAATCACACAGCTCTGTAGTTAATGTTTTATGATGGTTTTATGAAAATGCTAGATTGTGTGTCTCTTCTTCTAATTTGTGCATTTTGGAAAATAATAAATAAATGTGGACCACATGTTTTGTTGTCTTGTAAGTTCCACTCAGTCATGTAAAAACAAGGTAAAAACAGTTTGCATATAGAACCCCACAGGTTCCACTAGAGGGAGTCCTAACGCAAACAACTGGGGCTGGTCTCTTTTGTTTTCTTGGCCTTTTTAAAAAAAATAGTTTAATTGTGTTTTTCAGCTCTGAAAATCCTACGTGGTTTTGATGAAGTTATGAGTGCTCTGAAAAAAAAGCTATATAAAGAAAGACTTTCTGATAGTCTAAAAATATGATAATTTGCATTCAGTACTGGGATGTATTTTTAGTATCTTGGTATCTTCTTATCTTCTTGGTATAGTCCAACATCAAGTGTACATAACATTAATAATATGGCAGTATACTCAAGAGTTCATTCTGACTTGGGCAGAGAAAACACGTACAGTAATGTGTACAGTAATGCTAAACATTCTCTGTGACAGTATAGCTCAATATGGGCTAATGAGCTGCAGATTCTATATTTAAATTTTGGGCCTTTAAAGGGCCCCAAAATTCAAGATCTGAATCATCCAAACTTTGATGTTACATTGTGCCCGTGCATATTCAAGGGATTGAGTAAAGGGATCTCAAAACAGGCTCTTATTTTTGCTTTAAGGTATACAGGGAGTGCAGAATTATTAGGCAAATGAGTATTTTGTCCACATCATCCTCTTCATGCATGTT